TCCCAGGCTGTGGGAAACTGTCACAACCTTCACACTCATCTCTGCAGCATCAGAATTACTCATAGAGGTATACTTAAATATTCTTCTTGAGAATTAAACTTTCAGTGTAAAGTTTTTAGTTGTGAGTTTTGGTATGTATGATTGATGTAAATTTCATAGATTAGAACAATGCAGAGAGTGACACACGTCCAGGAGATTTCAGTCAGAAGTTATTTTGTTATGCTGGAAATATACATACCTTTATGAATTGAAAACAGATTTTATCACATAATACTCGCTTTGTTCATAATTTTGGTCACTGGTGACTTGGTCATCAAAGACACTGCAATCCTCTGTGTAGAAACAACTTTCAAATCCTCTTCCTTTATTACATCATTTCTATAAACCCTGTAGTTTTTTTGCAATCCCACAAAACTAATCTTCAGAATTTTCAACAGAAGTCCTTTTCACTGTCAACTAGTAACAACTAGTGGGTGAGGTGATATTACTGCCAATCAGCATCTTGCTCTTCAGTTTCTTTCAAGGTGGGAAAACCACTCTTTTTCATTTGTGTGTTTTCACCCGTGTCAATGCCTCCCGCTTTATGGAGATTTTTGAACAGCCCTTCTGAATCAGTAGACTGCCATGAAATCTAATGGGTTTTACATTATTTCCATCAAAGCAGACAGCTTAAACAGCAACAATGTTAACAAACAAAGAATAATTTCCCGCTAAAGAGGTTAACCACACTGGGTACAACAATGGCACCCTTCCACCAATACGTCTGTATGACCACCCCACACAGCCTCCAGCATGTGTCCGTCTTGTTGTCAAAGTAGAGGCTGGCCACCCTGGGTACAACAATGGCACCCTTCCACCAATACGTCTGTATGACCACCCCACACAGCCTCCAGCATGTGTCCGTCTTGTTGTCAAAGTAGAGGCCGGCCACACTGGGTACAACAATGGCACGTTTCCACCAATACGTCTGTATGACCACCCCACACAGCCTCCAGCATGTGTCCGTCTTGTTGTCAAAGTAGAGGCTGGCCACCCTGGGTACAACAATGGCACCCTTCCACCAATACGTCTGTATGACCATCCCACACAGCCTCCAGCTTGTGTCTTGTCTTGTTGTCAAAGTAGAGGCTGGCCACCCTGGGTACATGGGTCAACTAAGTCAGTGAGCCTGACCACCTGATCCCATTAGTCCAGAAGTGATGTCATAACTGTAGGTATATAGATAGACAAGAAATAGAAATATCATAGATGGTTTTAATACATTGTACAAGGAACTAGTTCATAGTGTGAAATGAATGTCAGATCTTTTACAAACTGTTGAATTAGCGTTTTGTCAGTTATGATTAGATGTTAGTTACATTATTGTTAAAACACGAATATGGCTTCAATTTGCCTGTGTCAAATCCTTTTGTTGTTTACCTTTATTGGACTAAAAGTGAATGAGAGATATCTTTTACAGCGCTATTACATCACAGACTTTTACCATGGTTTAACCTTGACCCATCTCTCAATTGCTGTATGGTCAAACACCGTTGTGTCAGTGTCTGATGGTCAAACACCGTTGTGTCAATGTCTGATGGTCAAACACCGTTGTGTCAATGTCTGATGGTCAAACACTGTTGTGTCAATGTCTGATGGTCAAACACCGGTGTGTCAATGTCTGATGGTCAAACACTGTTGTGTCAATGTCTGATGGTCAAACTTATGGCTGCCTCAAAGTATTAGTTTGGTCCTTTGTGGTCCTCCTTCAGTCATCATTTTTCCTTGTTCAAACCTCAGTTAACTTGAAGTATTGAGGTTGGTTCCTTCAACTTTAACGCATTTGACTGTATATAGACACTGCTGAGACTCCTTTTTCATGGATTGTTCTCTCAATTTACATCTGTGATAATATAGAGAATATGTTTTTGATAAACCTCATGATCACATACCCTTCCTTTTTTAACATAATAATATGTTCATTTTATTTTTTTAACCATAAATTATATCCTAACATTAATACACTTGGATTCACTTATCCTTGACTGGCAACCAATTTTGGCATTTTCATTTAAGGAAAAATCAAGGCATGAATATATAGGCTAACTGATTATACTGAGTGATTGATCAAAGAATCCACTACACTACAATTTGTCAGTCATCATATTGATAAGTGTCTTGTGGAAGATTCCTTGAAAAATGTAGATATTTTGGAGTTTGTGAACTACTTTACTATGTGTTGGTGTAAAAGTTGTACTTTTGGTGTGCTTTGTGAATATGTGTACTACTGTCTACCCCCCCCTCCCCCCCCCCCCTCCACGTCCTCTCCTAGTCACCTCCTCTAAAGTCTCCCAGGGAGGAACATACATCTTGCAATCTCCCAATTAGTGACATCCTATCTGGGCAAAGTGATATAGTCACGAAAATATACATGAGACAGGCATGCATGTGTCATGCATTAACAAGACGCTGATGACTGTCATCCAAGATACAGAGGCGTCACACTCCAATGCATTAACATCCTCAGGTGAACTTTTTATGTCAGTTTTTGTCTTGTGTCATGTACTTGTGAGGAACTTATCTACCATGCAGATTGTGTTTCCTGTGCCGCCGACTCTGCCCCTTCATCCCCACCAGCGTATATTTCCATGGTATTCTGACATCTGCTGGGGTTTGTGAACATGCTGCTTCAGTTTTACATCTTCTCATGTCAGGACCAGCATATAGGTGGTGATTATGTAATTTTGGTGATGATGATACCATCAACACTGATCAAGTTTTCTTGTGAGGTAGATGCATCTACTGATGGTGTCCACATATTTTAAAAGGCAATGTTCCCCTATGTACCAAGAGGAGCAGCCGGTAACAGTAAACACATTCTGGGAATACATGGGCAGTTGTGAAACCTAAAACATGCATGGCTTGTTGGACACAATAGTCAAGAATACATCTGAAATATCAGATCTCTGATCCTGTATTCCACTTTAAAGAAAATTCATTTTAAATAATATATTTTAAGAATAAATCTCAGTTCTGAAAGCGTATTTGTTCAAAATGAGGGACATACCCTGGGATTTGTATGTATCCTGTGTGTGGACTGCAAAACACAACATGAAGGACATTTTGAAAATGCACTTGTGATTAGACAGAGCTTCCAAAGTATACCGCAAAGCCCATTGCCCTGAACTGCAAACATAAAAAGTATTATACAGAATGAAAGGGTTCAGTTGGTCCTGTCTTGTGAAATTTTGTTTTGTAAAAAGCATGTTCCTGTTTACATGATGAGGAGAAATGGCTGTTGGATACATCATAGCACATGCAATTATCAACATAGCATGGACTGACTGACTGACTGAGTTTGGTTTTACGCCGCTTTTAGCAATATTCCAGCAACATCACGGCGGGGGACACCAGAAATGGGCTTCAAACATTGTGCCCATGTGGGGATTCGAACCCGGGTCTTCGGCGTGACGAGCCAACGCTTTAACCATTAGGCTACCCCACCGCCCAACATAGCATGGAACTTCTCAACTATATATCTATAAATTTTTGTGTACAAGAAAAGTGTAAATTGACACAAGAAATAAAAACAGATAATTTTTTAGTTAAGAGCTCGAACTTACAGTTGTAGAACAATGTGCTACTGAGACATAGTACATGAATCAAGTTTCAACTTGAAACTTTACATAACTTTACATACTTACAGGACTTTACCACAGAAACATTGACATATGTACAGAACTTTACCACAGAAATTCTGACATATCTACAGAACTTTACCACGGAAACATTGACATATGTACAGAACTTTACCACAGAAACATTGACATATGTACAGAACTTTACCACAGAAACATTGACATATGTACAGAACTTTACCACAGAAACATTGACATATGTACAGAACTTGATCACAGAAACATTGACATATGTACAGAACTTTACCATGGAAATTTTGACATATGTACAGAACTTTATCACGGAAACATTGACATATGTACAGAACTTTACCACAGAAACATTGACATATGTACAGAACTTTACCACAGAAACATTGACATATGTACAGAACTTTACCACAGAAACATTGAAATATGTACAGAACTTTACCACAGAAACATTGACATATGTACAGAACTTTACCATGGAAACATTGACATATGTACAGAATTTTACCACAGAAACATTGACATATGTACAGAACTTTACCACAGAAACATTGACATATGTACAGAACTTTACCACAGAAACATTGACATATGTACAGAACTTTATCACGGAAACATTGACATATGTACAGAACTTTACCATGGAAATTTTGACATATGTACAGAACTTTACCACGGAAACATTGACATATGTACAGAACTTTACCACAGAAACATTGACATATGTACACAACTTTACCATGAACATTGACATATGTACACAACTTTACCATGGAAACATTTACACATACAGAACTTCATGAAAACACTACACACAAAATTAATGTGCAGAATTACCACAGAATCTAACATGCACAGAACTTCACTGCTGCACTGTAAAAGGGTTGTCATTTTGTTTGTGATGCTGCTTATTAGATGACCAGAGGAACATCATACTTCAGTTACATTTAAATAATGTATGTTATTCATGATGTTCTTGAAGCTTTACGATGGGGTCTGGTCGCTATGTATTTACGATGTCTATGACCTATACCCCACACATCCAGTTCATAGAAGAGTCAAGTTGGAGGAAATGTAATCCAAGTGCTGGACCGTCAGCATGCAGTCATGGTATAATGACAAGCAAGAAGAGACAGACCAAAGTGTATTGTGCCTTGTTTCAAGCACTGAGAACCCTGCTGAACCAGCACCCCTTTCATGTTAGTCGTCTTGGGACAGAGAAGATGCCACCTCCACAAGGCTTTGGCAGTTCCTCTGTAATTCAGTTGATGTAACCTCTTTGTTAGATTGTGCTAATGTGTATACAAGCTGTTTGTTACATATTGTATCAACATAAATGTCATAATCTTTCAGGCTGACAAGGAATTTGTGTGGTCATTATGGAAACGGCTGCAGGTATCCAATCCAGATGTGACGGAGGCAATATCACTTGTCATTCAGAGGTACTCACTTGCAGCCTTACTTCACACTTTATGGTTCACTTTCACACACTCAAATATATATATGTTATTAAATATAATTCAGTTGAAACCTTTTTGTTTGATGATGTTCAAAAATGAACAGTATATCAACTTCCCATATTTGATATTTAATTTTCAACTATGTTTGTTGCTGAAAACTAGCAGCAGTATCAAAGACAGCTCTGAAAGACCATTTCAGAGTATATGTTTAAACTTTTTAGTAAGTCATTAAGATTAATTGATGCGTATCCTGAACTGTGCAGGGAGAAGGAGAAGTCAGAGGCCAAAGACCTCAAGGTTCTGGAGATCCTGCAGATCAAGGATGACCGTATTGAAGAGCTCCAGAACATTGTAGCCAAACAGTCGCAGGAAATCAGTGACCTGCTCACTAAGTGAGTTCAGCACCCAGTCCCTAAACAGTAGAGTAAACCTTTGTGCACATCTCAGACAATATTCAGTCTGATGTTCCTGCTGATCAAATGTTTCCATTTCACAAATAAACATAAGGTCTTACTATTACTATGGAAGAGACTGAATAAGGTCTTACTATACTGTGGAAGTGATTCAATAAGGTCTTACTATTACTATGGAAGAGACTGAATAAGGTCTTACTATACTGTGGAAGTGATTCAATAAGGTCTTACTATTACTATGGAAGAGACTGAATAAGGTCTTACTATACTGTGGAAGTGATTCAATAAGGTCTTACTATTACCATGGAAGTGATTGAATAAGGTCTTACTATTACTATGGAAGTGATTGAATAAGGTCTTACTATTACTATGGAAGTGAATGAATAAGGTCTTACTATTACTGTGGAAGTGATTGAATAAGGTCTTACTATTACTATGGAAGTTACTGAATAAGGTCTTACTATTACTATGGAAGTGATTGAATAAGGTCTTACTATTACTATGGAAGTGATTGAATAAGGTCTTACTATTACTATGGAAGTGATTTGATAAGGTTCTACTATTACTATGGAAGTGATTGAATAAGGTCTTACTATTACTATGGAAGTGATTGAATAAGGTCTTACTATTACTATGGAAGTGACTGAATAAGGTCTTACTATTACCACGGAAGTGACTGAATAAGGTCTTACTATTGCTGTTAAAGTGACTGGAGCTTTTGGAAGAAAACTGGAGCACCTTTCATTAGTGACAAATATAATGACAGACATTGTTGATCAGCTATGCAGGGTAAATGATTTTATCAGAATTTTTGCTAACATGAGCCTCCATAGTGTAGGTAAAGTAAGACTGTAGTCATGTTGTAGTAGTGAAGCACTTCTGAAGCAGTGACACTATTGATGATGATACAATCTTGAAGTGTCCCTGTTGTCCAGCCATGCAGCATATGTGGTATCAGTACTGCTGTCGTTCTGTTTTCAGGAAGGTCGACCTCCAGGAACAGAGCGGCAGGTTCCAGGCAGAATGTGACCAGCTCCAAGATAGACTGTCCACATCACAGGCCCAGGTAAAGATCACTGAGCCCAGTATCGTGCACATGTCTGTCTGATGGTTGTAGTTAGTTGAGGAATAATCCATTTATTATATTTCAAGTTGGTCAGTTATGGTAGTCAGTTATCATGTTGTAGAGTTCTCTAAAACCTTCTTCGACAGTATTTTTTCAGCTGCCATTGACTCGTTTATGACAATTTGATGGGCAATCTTGCCTCCCAGGTTTTGTATCATATCGATGATAAATAGGATTGTTTGTTGTTGTTTGCTGCACTCAGCAATGTTCACGCTATATAGAAGTGGTCATAAATACCTGAGCCTGAACCAGACAATCCAGTGATCAGCAGCATGAGCATCGATCTATCCAAATGGGTTACAATACATGTCAACCAAGTCAGCGTGCCTGACCATCTGACCCCGTTAATCAACTCTTATGACAAGCATGGGTTGCTGAAGACCAATTCTAACCCAGATCTTCACGGGTCATGTATGTGAAGTACCATATTTAACTGTAGATAGGCTGTATTTTGAGGACAAGAAAAACCTTTCTGTAGAAAGTGGTCGGCCTATGTTAAGGTTGTACTTTCATGAAGCTATTTTTCTGTGGTGAAAAATCTACATCATATAGCTTCAGGTGAGCTAACCAGAGATAACAACTGTGCCAAGTGGTGATTTACCATTTCTGTTGTACCAGGTATTGTTTTATATACAAGACAGTATGGTTTGATGTACCTCAGTAATGTTGATACTGGAAACAAACCAATTTCAGTCAAAGTAGAACTTGTTGCCATGAAAATGCAAATATTATTTTATGCAGAAATAACTATCAATAAACTAGTTCACCACCAGACCAATCTACGTCCCAAATTTGGTGAAGGAACATTGAATGGTTTTAAAGTTCAGCACCGGAAAAGGCGAATGGAGTCCATTGTAATATCCCCCTGCAAAACATGTGCCGGTGGATGCAGTGAATTGGGGGGTGGGTAGGGTGGGGTAAAAGATTTATTTATTTGCTGATTTTACTAAATGCTTTAAAACAATTATGATTATAACCAGAGTTATGCATTACCACTTATTGTGTAGTGTCAGATATGATGTTCATGTGGTCTAGCTGTTTCAATTAGAAATCAGTATGTTGTCATGTAATCATGCAGATTACAACAAATAGGACTTTTAACGAGTCAAAGTATGTCTTTCATGATATATGTTTCCATTTTCTGTCAACTAAATTGTTCAGTTTCAAGGTGTCAGTAGATGTAAAAATGATGATGGTTGCTATGAATAATGCTACAGTGTGTAGTAAAGCAGACCCTATAGAACTGGGTGAATGGAAGATGTAGGTATGGGGCAGACACATGATTTCACCACACTTGATATTGACACTATTGAAGAAAATTTTGAGGATGACAAATACAAGCCCAGATATACAATGAACACTTTTTTCCAGACAATGTAATGGCAGGATTGCACAAGTCAATACAAATATGTTAATATTCTTTTTCTGATGACTGATCACGATGAGGTTATGTAGGTAGGTTTGTGGTATGGCTTATGTACCAGACATGCAGTTCTGATACAGACTTCAAGGGCATGCAAAATGTAGGTGAATAGTAAAGTGCATGCAGTTACATACACTCCTGCAAAGGGCACAGTAAGATTCAGTCAGGATGGGTATGCTATGTTATTACTAAAGGATGTTTTGGTAATATGTTTGTATGAAGATTACTTGACTATCCAAAGTCAAAATATGTATTTGTGCTGGGAAAATGGTGTTTATTTGTTTAACTGGAGCATCAGATAAAGCTTACAATCAGCTCCCCTGATTGGACTGATGAGGTCACATACTCTGTCAGCTGTATGGTTTCAGTGGTCACTGTGAACATTGATATCGGCTTTATTGTATATGAAACTCCTTGACTTTGTAATAATAATTCAATGAGTGTAGCCTGCCTGTGTTAGGCCTGGAATAATCTCTACTGTATTTGGAGACCTCAAGGACTCAATACCCAATAACACTGACTTGATGAAGAATTAGTCTGAAATGAACTGATTTCAAATCACATCACCAGGTTTTATTTTTCTACTGAATGAAATAAATCTGTTTAAATTTCATATTCTTCTATCATGAGTGTTGTGCACTTGACATCAAAAGTTAGATGCTTTCACGCATAGCTGCTCCACCTTTGATTTTTCCATATCAATTTTTGTGAAGAACTTTATGTTCCTTTCACATGAATGTGACCCTCTCTAACATGTAAATCTGATCCCACGATCCAATCAGTGGCTCACTTGATTGTATACACATTGATTCCACTCCCATTTGGGGATAAGTTCTAGTTGTGGAAGCCAAGTACAGCTTTTGAATGTTTGACCTACACTGGTCACATGGGGTGCTGTGTGTTTGTCTTGTGTGAAGCAACAGCGAACAACCATGTCATGTTTCATGTGGAACCAAGATAATGTCTGCAGATACTCAGATTGAGAACCAAATCAGATTTTTGTGATTGTTTTATCAAATGTTGTAAATTAGATGCGGACAGAAAAAACTTAAGTGGACCTAGTATCACAATAGATCAATATCTGATTGGTCATTAACTTGGCAGGATTAGGCGATTAATTAGTTCTGGATGTCCCGATGTGGTGCTATGGGGCAGACGGCTGTAATAATAACACTCTGCCATTGATCCAGCTTGCTGCTGCTGCTGCTGTCCCATGACGGGTAGTCATAATGCTGAGGAGGAGGTGTTCCCAAATTCAATTATTAAATAATGAAGTCACATTCCCGTTCCCCTGTCATATGTAGCATGCAAAACCCAGGACATGTTCTGTCATTTGTCACGATATTCCACCAGCGACTAACCTGAGTGGCTGCGTCCTGGCCAGATTAATTCATTCATAAGTGATGTAGTCCTATCTGGGATGCTTGTTGCTCCAACTTTATGGGTCTGTCCCTGTGGATCCATAATGGCTACTGAACCCGTCTGCCGCCATCTAAAATTGGTGACCTCACTCAACATCGCTCAAAGGTCACTACATCAAGGGGTCTTGCAGATTTTTGTACTCTCTCATTTCTCTGACTTTGAATATGATTTGTAGAGAAAATATATGACAGATTTATAGATTTAGTTGCATGTGTCTTTGGGTGACAGATTTAAATTTGATTAAAAGAAATGAGTATTTGTGTCTGATTTCAACTTGCTATGGGATATTCAGAGATGAAAAATAGCTGCCTAATAGTTTTTATGTTAGATTTTTCAACTTGCATCATTTTGAACATTAGAAAGCAGTTGAAGCTAATATCACTCATGAGTCAGAAACAGGATTACAGAGTGATTGAGAGTTGGAATATTATCAGACATGAAAGATAATATATTCATGTGCCAGATGAATATTCTCCAAGCAAGCAAAACCAGGGCTAGCAGGCCTGGGCCATATGGTTTATTGTGAGAGAGTCCCAACTTTATTCTCAAGATTCTTAGACTTACATAATGCAGTAAACCTGTTACATACAAAGTGGATGAGAGAGCAGTTGCTGGTGACCATGTCATCAAGGCACTACGGTCTACAGTGCAGAGTTGCATCTAATAGGTGTTCCAAAATCTTGTGATTGACGGTTCAAATCCCAGCTTTGCCTTGTTTTTGTTTTTGTCAGTACCACAGTGGTAAGATGTAAGACTGGCATCACTTCTGGTTTTCCCCTCTCTTCAAATTGTCATGATATTACTGAAACACTGCTCAAAGTGGTGTTTAACCAACTCTCACTGCACTGTAAGAAAGAGAACATGCAGTTTCCTGTCACAATATTTTGATCTGGGTATAGCAGAATACAACTGCCGCTCTGAGCCAGCTGACCACTGATAGTGAAGTAGCTAGCTTGTATTCACTGTTGTGCCCACGGTAACAACATGTGGAACATCCATGTATGCCAGCAGACCAGCCCTGTGTCCAGACTCTCCATGTCCTGATTCACTGTCTGGTCAATTGCCCCCGCTGTGTGTAAGGGTAACAACATGTGGATCATTCATGTATGCCAGCAGACCAGCCCTGTGTCCAGACTCTCCATGTCCTGATTCACTGTCTGGTCAATTGCCCCCGCTGTGTGTAAGGGTAACAACATGTGGATCATTCATGTATGCCAGCAGACCAGCCCTGTGTCCAGACTCTCCATGTCCTGATTCACTGTCTGGTGAATTGCCCCCGCTGTGTGTAAGGGTAACAACATGTGGATCATCCATGTATGCCAGCAGACCAGCCCTGTGTCCAGACTCTCCATGTCCTGATTCACTGTCTGGTCAATTGCCCCCGCTGTGTGTAAGGGTAACAACATGTGGATCATTCATGTATGCCAGCAGACCAGCCCTGTGTCCAGACTCTCCATGTCCTGATTCACTGTCTGGTCAATTGCCCCCGCTGTGTGTAAGGGTAACAACATGTGGATCATCCATGTATGCCAGCAGACCAGCCCTGTGTCCAGACACTCCATGTCCTGATTCACTGTCTGGTCAATTGCCCCCGCTGTGTGTAAGGGTAACAACATGTGGATCATCCATGTATGCCAGCAGACCAGCCCTGTGTCCAGACACTCCATGTCCTGATTCACTGTCTGGTCAATTGCCCCCGCTGTGTGTAAGGGTAACAACATGTGGATCATCCATGTATGCCAGCAGACCAGCCCTGTGTCCAGACACTCCATGTCCTGATTCACTGTCTGGTCAATTGCCCCCGCTGTGTGTAAGGGTAACAACATGTGGATCATCCATGTATGCCAGCAGACCAGCCCTGTGTCCAGACTCTCCATGTCCTGATTCACTGTCTGGTCAATTGCCCCCGCTGTGTGTAAGGGTAACAACATGTGGATCATCCATGTATGCCAGCAGACCAGCCCTGTGTCCAGACTCTCCATGTCCTGATTCACTGTCTGGTCAATTGCCCCCGCTGTGTGTAAGGGTAACAACATGTGGATCATCCATGTATGCCAGCAGACCAGCCCTGTGTCCAGACTCTCCATGTCCTGAT